GGATGCTTCACCTGCCCACAGGGACCTCCCGGACCTCCTGGTATGATCTTATCATACTTTTGAACATCACTACATACTTCTGTTGAATTTTAGGTCCAACTGGAAAGCCTGGACCTCGTGGTATGCGGGGAGCTCGCGGACAGGCTGCTATGCCCGGTCGCGACGGACAGCCCGGATTCCCCGGAACTATCGGAGGACTTGGAGCTCCTGGACCAGCTGGAGAGGAAGGACCACAAGGAGAGCCAGGAGAGGATGTTGAACACCAAATTGGACTTCCCGGACCTAAGGGAGTACCTGGACCACCAGGAGAGGATGGAGATGAAGGACAACAAGGAGACGCTGGAGCTCCAGGACAGGCTGGTCCTCCAGGAGAACGTGGACCTCAGGGAGAGAAGGTAAATTCAAATCTTCGATTTTCAATCAGGCAGCTAATTCGTTTTTTATAGGGAGATGATGGTGCTACCGGAACTCCTGGAGAGCCAGGAGAGGAAGGAGAACCAGGCAAGGATGCTGAGTACTGCCCATGCCCTCAACGCAATGCTGCTCAGAACGTCCAGGCTGCTGGATACCGCCGTTACTAGAAAGCGAAAGCCATCTCTGAAATGTGCAATGCTCAATAAATTATTTGTTCCTAGTCGCAGAGTACCAAAGATAATTTCCATGATTCCGCAAACTTGCTGGTGAGAAACTATATTTTAGTTGGTGCTGGAAATCTGTTTATTTTTGGGTGTTTTTGGCGATACTTTTGGCATTATAGTGGTAGTGAATAGTGGTATTTTTTGTGTGATATCACGAAGTTCTCATCAACTAACTGAATCTAGCGAGTAAAGCCAACTCTTGTCGTAAGAACACATTAGAAGAAAATCTCACGTCTTTCCCGCCGAGGGGACACCCCTTAGGGGGTTACTAAAAGTGGTCCCGAAAGTATATCCGTTTTTCCGAATGACCATATAATCTGGGTACCTTGAAACAGTTTAGGAGAAGATTAGATGTCCGACAAAGGGGGGAATCCGAACTATATCATAGTACTCCTTGGAGTTATGAAGATTTTTTGGAGATCTCCATTTTTAGTAGAATCGTGGAACACACATCTAATAGAAGCAGCAAATTTTTCTGAACTTTCTGCTAAAAGCTTGATTGTCAGTAATCTTCAAGCAAATTTAATTCATTTGGTGATTTGATATGGTGCTGGCTATCTCTGGCCTACATATGTGTGGATGTGAGTTTAACAGAACTTTCCATTTCTGTACCAACCCGAACGCAAAAATGTGAAGCCCTTACATCGAAGCTTTTGAAAAAGAACCGGCTGGCATAGCCGGCCACGCCCAGCCCTTTCAACCCTTTTAATACATTAGTATAAGGCCCGTATGCACATACATCCTCGCTAGGGAGGGGAGCGGATCTGA